AGGCGGCTTCGGCTAGTTGCTGTCCTATGTCCGACTTGTTGGTTCTCCGGGGGGGGGGGGCCTTGTGGGGGTGGGGGACCTACCGGAAGGGTCGTGCCAGGGCTCCAGGTTCTTCCCGTCGTGGTAGGCCTCTTAGAACACCTTTATCTCTCTCACCCGTCGTCTGCCTTCAGCCAATGCTGTGTGTCTGATGCCGTGGTGGTATGGTAGCTGTCTTCAGTACACCAGTATATCTTTATGCTTTGTATTCATTGCTTACAGTTTATTTTTGTATTAATGTCATATTATCTAGTTCACCTTTGCATTACAAAATAGCCAAGTATTTTCAAGTGCCAATTTTGTTCATTAATATTTCAGTAAATTGTTTTAATTATTTATTTGATGATTTTAATTGGTTTCCAACTGCGACTCCACACTGCAAGGCCAATAGCAGCATATTTTTTTATTTATGGGAGGGAGAATCATACCATCTTGGTTCAGTATAGCTGCGATACCACAACCCATCACATTTTACACTCATCTTCTGAGTCAGAAGATCAATTTTCATCTCGAAGTGAAGAAGGGAATAGTGGCCGCCTCACACCTGATGGTTCGAGGGCTGCAATGTTGTTGCCAGTAGATCTGCTCTCATTGTTGTGTACATCACCAGCATGTATGATGATGTTATTTTGGAGAGGCCAATTCTTATACACATGTACTCAAAATTCAGTAGTGACCAAATGATTACTTTGTGGAACTGGAGCAATGAGAGGTTTCTCTGTATCAGTTGTGTAGTACTTGTATAACACAAAAGCATTATGGATAGCCATTTGCAGAATGTAGAACGTGATTTCTTCATCCACTTGTGACATTTCCACGTGAAATGATAATACTTGACCATTTGGTCGAAGACGCAATGGAGTGAAAGTGAACCCCGGCAAAGAGGGCACCAAAACCTAAGCATGATCAAAGGGGGCCCAAGCCCCCAAGGTCAACTCCTCCCCAGCTCCTGGAGCCTCCAAACCAGGCCCCGGGGCAGAGCTGTCCTCCACATCCTCTACCCTTGAAGAAAATGCAGAGTCCAGGGAAAAGGCAGAGAAGAAGGGGGTCCGCTGGTAAGACCCAGAAGCCTCGGCAGGAGGAGCAGGTTCGAATGTCTCCATCGAATGGGGGCAGCTCCTAAAGCCGCCCAAATTCTCATCAACAACTAAACTCAGCTCCGACTCCGAAACCCTCAGACGTTTGGGAGTCGGGTGCAAGGAAGAAAGATGGGAGGGGGAAGGAAGCAGGACAAACAACACCAACCAGGAAAGGACTTTGAAGCGCAGACGGAACCAAAGTCGAAGCGACTAACGTCCCCAAATCCGGGTCTCTATAACCAAATTGGGGCAGCCCCGGGGCATCCGGGTGGGCAACGAACCTAGTGCATTGCAGCAAACCTAGCATGCAATGCTGATGCCACCTGTACCCAAACCTCAGTGTCAATAAAAAAGGGTAACTGGAGTATGAGCAGAGAACACGACTGTCAAGACATCAGGTCAGAGGTGTCGTTGACCCAACAGGCAGCATGATGGAGGCAATAACGATGACTGTCACCTGGAGACAAGGGCACAGAGCAACCGTCAAACTCGCACAAGGTGAGCTGGAACTCAGAAGATGCATCCATCGGTCCACTAAGCCTCTGTAGGGATTTCCAGTGCCGGCAGGCTGACTGCTACGGAAAGCCCAGGCAAGAAACTGCAAAACTGGTTAATACCAAAAACTACCAAGGGGGAACTGAACCCCTGCAACATGTACAATCACGGGGGCCTGGAGGAGGGCCACCAAAATGCAAAAAGTGAACCAATAGCCAAACAAGGCAGCCCCATCCCCCCCAGGCAAGGAAAACAAAAACAAAAGAAAAATCCTGCTAAAGCACAAAGTCACCAGAGGAACAAGAACCAGCCGCTGCGTAGGTAGGCAAGCTGTGCAGTACCTTGTGCCCCTACCAGCAAACAATACCACTTCCTACCCATACTCAAGGCAAAACAAAAGCCAAGAAAACTCCAGCTGGCCCAAAATTGGGGTAAATACGAAGCAGCAAAGACCGCTATGGAAGTGGTTCAGAAAAGCTCTATGGAAGATAACCCTAGAGCAAAAGGGTAGTACTTACTTAGAGGGCGCTTTGGGAAGGGAGCCCTAAGCACATGCAGTCCCAGTACACTTAAATTTCTCCTGACCACCATACCCCACACAGCAGAATACACCACTAAGGTCATGCAGGCAAGTAACCGAGGCCAGAGTCGAAGACTGCCCCAGAACGCATCAGCCAACAAACTGAGGTATGAGTAGCCGGCGCGGGGGGTCTAGGGCTCCTTTCCCCTCCCAGGCAGGAGAGGGCTGCGCGGATAAGTGCCACAGCGGCGGTGTAGTTTGTTTGCTTGTTTCTTTGGATGTTGGAGGAGTTCTGCCTCTGTTCGTTCTTCGATTGTAATTTTCTTACCTTGTGGGGTTTGTTTTGTTATACAGAGCACCACTTTGTTTCCGAACTTTAGTTATCTGAAACTTCCAGTTTCCCGATTGGGGTTGGGGAGTCATGCTACCCGAACAAAGTTTGGGTAGGAAGGGGTCCGCCAAGCGTCACGCCGGCTTGTGGTGGTGGGTGGGAGATGGTCCAGTTTGCCCACTGTGACTTCACAGATTCACGGCCTATTATTCCTATTATTTTGAATTGTCATGAGGATGGAATGTTCATTCTGTGCTTTTGTTTTACATATCTGCACAATCAAGAAACATCTGTGCACCATGTCGGCTCCAAATGCACGCATTGCATCAGTGATGGCTGACTGGTGGGTGGATGGATGAGGGAGCTTAGATGGGAGGCAGTATGAGAGAGAGGGGGAGAATCAGTGAGAGAGAGGGGGAGAATTAGTCAGAAAGGGAGGGAGAGAGAGATGCTAGGAGGGAGGGGGAGGTAGGGAGAGATGCTAGGAGGTAGACAGGAAAGGACGGAAGTAGTGAGAATTAGGGAGGGAAAGGCAGGCAGGCAGGCACAGGCTGGCTGGCAGGCAGGCAGGCAGGCTAGCTTGCAGGCAGGCTGGCTGGCAAGCAGGCAGGCTGGCTGGCAAGCAGGCAGGCTGGCTGGCAAGCAGGGAGTGAGTGGTAGTCACGCGGTTGAACCGTGTGACCTTTGAAAGAGAGTATGGGATGTAGGGGGGCGGGTGGTTTGTCGGTGGTAGGGGTGGTGGGGGAGAGACCGGCTCATTCCCGAAGATAAGCCTAACACACACTACCCGTTAGCATGATGGCAGGGAGGCAGGGAGGCAGGCAGGCAGGCTGGGAAGGAGGCAGGCAGGCAGGCAGGCTGGGAAGGAGGCAGGCAGGCAGGCAGGCTGGGAAGGAGGCAGGCAGGCAGGCAGGCTGGGAAGGAGGCAGGCAGGCAGGCAGGCTGGGAAGGAGGCAGGCAGGCAGGCAGGCTGGGAAGGAGGCAGGCAGGCAGGCTGGGAAGGAGGCAGGGAGGCAGGCAGGCTGGGAAGGAGGCAGGCAGGCAGGCAGGCTGGGAAGGAGGCAGGCAGGCAGGCTGGGAAGGAGGCAGGCAGCAAGGCTGGGAAGGAGGCAGGCTGGGAGGGAGGCAGGCAGGCTGGGAAGGAAGCAGGCAGGCTGGCTGGGTAGAAGGCAGGCTGGGAAGGAGGCAGGCAGGCAGGCTGGGATGGAGGCAGGCAGGAAACGATATATGGGTGTTGAAGTGAACCGTGAACCGTGAACCATGTGACCTTTGAGTGCGTGTGTGTGTGTATGGGTTTGGGGTGGGGGGTGGGGGAGGGACCGGCTGACTCCGTAAGCCTAGCCACACTCCACAGACCTGTGACCCAGATTTGTTTCTAAAATTTACAGTACATCATCGTATATTTTTGGCAGGATGTGCCTGCAGGCTGGCAGGATGTGCCTGCAGGCTGGCAGGATGTTTCTGCAGGCTGGCAGGATGTTCCTGCAGGCAGGCTGGCAGGATGTTCCTGCAGGCAGGCTGGCAGGATGTTCCTGCAGGCAGGCTGGCAGGATGTTCCTGCAGGCTGGCAGGAAACATCCAGAGGATGTTTGCCAGACGTCTTAATTAATCAGTTTGGAACAATTAAGGACTTTTATAAAGCGGATCAGGACTTCTCTTATTGGTGACTACAAACAAAATACGGTCGCATTTACGCTATGAACCTGTCTATTTTTTCCCCTAGAGTTTTTTCACAAATTTTTTGGAACAATTTCTTTTTACATTTCTAGTTTATTTTTTCCCTCTATTTCTCGTATACGAACTTACATGTTAACCGACGGGTCTCGTCCCCAAGGGGTTCGGAAACCAAGTGGTGCTCTGTACCTACCTTACTGGGTGCTAATCCCGGTCAATGGCAGACATGGCAGACCCCCAAATAAAAGGGGGTTTACATAGGCCAATGCTCCCTTTGCTTCTCTGAGGGGGGCCAGGTTCTGGCTCGTGGTCCCTGGTAAGCTGAACTCCAATTGACTAATGTGCCAGACTAATATATCGCATATCAGTCCGATTGCTCCAGGGAGCCGATGGGGCTCCCCACAGAAACAGCCAAGAGCGGCAAACTTACAAACGTCATGGGTATAATGATAGACTGCAGACTGGCTAGACTTGACACTGTGGGCACATGAGAAATATGGGCCTTGGAACAGGGATCTGAGGAAAAGATCAGTCCACAAGGAATCAACCACTGCTCCTTCTGCACTGCTATGCAGGTAGTGACTGAGAGCCACCACTGGACACAAAATATGATCCACCCGTATCCGAACCAACTAACGGACCTCTCCGGAAACCAACTCACTCCTTCGGAAGAAAAGAAGGAGCCGGCTGTAGACGAACAAACCTTCCCCCAGGACTAAAAGAACAAAACCCTCAATGCCGAAATAGAGCATGAAGCTCCTCAACATGACAACTGGAAGCCAGAGACCAAGAAAAGGCTTTGAGAAAGTCTTTGACAGAGAACAAGACCCAATAGGGGTTCCCTCCATAAAAGAATACTTACCAAGGTTCCAGTTTGAAATAAAATGAACCTTCCATCGGTCCAATTTTGCTGGTTTTGCAGAGTTTACTTCTTGCAGGTATTCTACTATATCCACATATCTTGAGTGACCTTCACCAAAGCCAAGTATGCGGGAGAGATCATTGCCTGTTCCAAGTGGCAATACAGCAACCAGAGGACTTTTCTGAAAATACACACCAATATCATATATTTGATGCTTAGTATACAGAATTCAAGAAAACTTTAAATTTCTGGATATAAATACAGTGGAACCTTGATACAGTAAACCTCATTTTGGCATCTGGCATCAGTAACAGGACTGAGCGGTCACCATCTTTGAAGCCAGGAGATCCAGGATGCTACCTGCTGGTGGCTCTGCACACTAGGGGGTGTTTCATACCCAGTTTCAAGTGAACTAAATTCATTTTGTTTAGAATGAATCATTTGTAATGTCTGTTGACTGTTTTGGTGCTTTATTTTCATGAACTATGCAGTTGTCTGAATTGTTTCACCTACTTTTTGGTTGCTTTCCTGGTAAGGATTATCGTAACAATCCCCTGCTTCTTGGTCTCTTTGTAGAGGCTAGGCTCTGGTCTCTGGTAGGCCAACGGGATGCTTATAACTGATGCGACTTAGTAATGGAAAGTTATAGCACTGACATAGCTTCAGGAAGAAATCAAGGCTCTCTGAAGAAGAAAAGCTACAATACTACTTCCCCTTCTTTTTAAGCCATTAATAATTCTAATAGAGAACAAAACAGTTTAATATTTGTAATTTTAATATTTAATAATATTTAATATTTTAAATCGATTCCTGCACTACGAAAGTGTTAACACTTTCGTGCACCTGGCGCGCGAGCCCCAACCCACCCCAAGGTGGGCCTGGCGTTTTGTGGGAACGTGCATCTACATTAACATATTTACTCTTTCCAGTGTTCTGACCTCAGTTTTCGAGCTACATCGTTCATTTTGGCATCAAACTGTTTGCAATCTAAAGGCACGCATTTCAAATTTAGTACCATAATGAACGATGTAGCTCAAAAACTGAGATTAGAACACTGGAAAGAGTACATATGTTAATGTGGATGCACGTTCCCACGAAACACCAGGCCCAAATGTAAATGAAATTTAAAAATATATTTTTAATTTTGGACACTCAACAACACACAAGTATTTATAATCTTTCCAGTGTTTTGACCACAATTGTCGTGCTATGTCATTCATTTTGTTATCAAACTGTTCGCAATCTAATGGTGAGCATTTTAAAACTAGTCCCATAATGATCGGATAAAAAACCGGTGTTGAATGTAATGAAAAGCCATTTTCTGGGTGAGCCCCGGAGGCTCCCTGGAGCTTATCGGGCTAATGTATGCTATATTAGACCGGGACATTAGCTAAGGAGTTTAGACCTACCAGGGACCAGCGCCAGAACCTGGCCCCTTCAGAGAGGTTTCAGGGAGCAATGGCCCTGGAAAACCCCCTTGTGGTTGGGGTTTTCCTTATCTGCCATCGACCGGGGTTAGGCACCCAGAAAGGTAGGCATAACAAAACAAACCGTACATGGTAAAAAGCTAAAACAGAAAACCGAACAGAGAGGTAGAAACTCCCTACACTCCCTAGGAAACAAACAAACAAACAAACATCACATTTTACTGCCGCGCCGATCATCCGCACAACCCTTCCCGCCCCGAGAGGGGGAGGGGGGAGCCCCGGACCTCACCACGCCGGCTGCCTAGCTTCAGTTCGGAAGCTAAGCTTCAACCAAAGCGAAAAAATCGCTGACCGGTGGGAGGGAGGGTTGCCAGGGAGCCTCCGGGGCTCACCCAGAAAATGGCGTTTCATTACATTCAACGCTGGTTTTCTGTGGGGAGCCCCTACAGCTCCCTGGAGCTTCATACCCAAAGAGAAGGAAAAGAAAGGGCTAACCCGGGAGGCTGCTGCCACAAACTCTGCAACGCGAAGCCGAGACAACAGGTTGCAACCTGCGACCCAAAGCAATAAGAACGCACAGGAGCAGACACGCATAAAGAATGGGCGGCCAAGAACCTGTGAGACCCTCAAATCCCTGCACTCGAAATGAGCCCTAGACGTCACCAACACAGCAGACAAAGCTGCAAACGTCCGAACAACACGGGCTCAAGGACAGACCGCAGGCTGGAAGACTGAAAAACTCTGCAGACGACCTGGGAGACCCGAGCCCTGAAAACAGGGAACGAGGGGAACCGGATCAAACCAAAGTGCATCCCCAGACACGGTACACAGGTAATAGCATAAAGTGCAACCAGACAACACAGAACGTACCCCCGGCCAAACCAATCAAGCATCAATAACCCAAGAACCCCTCTGGAAACCAGCCATCTCGACCGTCGCCAGGACGGAGAAAGGCTGCACGTACAAATCTACCACCAGTACCAAAGAGCAGAAACCTGAACCAAATAGGTTACCACAAACAGAGGAGAAGATAAGAGGGCACCCTGATCAAGGACCAGGATGGCTCAGGCGACGCATGAGCAGGCCGGAGGTGAAACAAAACACGAGAAAGCATACTACCTCAGGGCTCTGTCCTGGTATACCTCAGGGCTCTGTCCTGGGACCTCTGTTGTTTATAATATATATAAATGATTTAGATTCAGGTTTGAGTAGCAACATTTGCAAATTTGCCGATGATACGAAAATCGGTAGGGAAATTAATTCGGAGGAGGACTCACTATTACTTCAAGTTGATCTAGATAGGGTTTTGAAATGGTCAAAGGATTGGCAAATGCAGTTTAATGCTGATAAATGTAAAGTTCTGAGGCTAGGTAATGATGATAGAGTTACAAGATACGAGCTAGATGGTGTTGAAATTGCGAAGTCGGATTGCGAAAGGGATCTGGGAGTTATGATTAGTAAGAATTTAAAACAAAAGGATCAATGCATGAATGTTCGTAATAAGGCGAATAGGACACTGGGATTTATTAATCGCAGCGTTAGTAACAAGACACCTGGTGTGGTTCTTAAGCTCTGGTTAGGCCCCATTTAGATTATGCAGTTCAGTTTTGGTCGCCGTATTATAGAATGGATATAAATTCACTTGAACGTGTCCACCGTAGGATGACTAAGTTAATTCCCCAAATTAGAAATCTTTCATATGAAGAAAGATTAACAAAGCTTAAGTTGCATTCACTGGAAAGGCGAAGAGTTAGGGGTGACATGATAGAGGTTTACAAGTGGATGAATGGACATAACAGGGGGGGATATTAATAGGGTATTAAAAATATCAACACAAGGCAGAACACGAAACAATGGGTATAAATTGGATAAGTTTAGATTTAAGAAAGACTTGGGTAAATACTGGTTCAGTAACAGGGTTGTTGATTTGTGGAACCAATTGCCGCGTAACGTGGTGGAGGTGGGGTCCCTTGATTGTTTCAAGCGCGGGTTGGACAAGTATATGAGTGGGAATGGGTGGTTATAGATAGGAGCTGCCTCGTATGGGCCAATAGGCCTTCTGCAGTTACCTTTGTTTTTATGTTCTTATGTTCTTATACGGAACGGGGCAGATGTGACGTCCACCCCGCACGCATGCCGGAGCGGCTCCGCCAGCGCTGCACAAAACGAGGCGACAGTAAGAAACATCAAATAACTGTAGTCCTGAAAACCCAAGAAAGACAAGACAACCCGATGCGAAAGAGAAGACGACCTACGAAGAGCAAGAAAAAGATGCATAGAAACACCAGGAACATCATACTGTCCCCGAAACAAAGCTTGCAGGTGGGACACCATCAACAGAACCCCCTGATCACCACAGAGATGGCAATACCCGCGTCAAAAAACCAGATGCGAAGTGCCGAGGAGAAGGCCGAGTCAGTCAAGTACAGGACCGGTCCGACTTGCCGAAAGAGGCGGAGCCGCAGGAAAATGCCCCGGGTTCGGACACCTATCAAGCATCGTCTGAAAATAAAGCTGGGCTGGCCTCCAAGGGACCATGAGGACTACTCTCTTGGGAATGGGCTGCAACCGAGCCAGAAGCCGAAGCAACAGCTGGACCGGGTGAAGAGGAACAGGTACCCTCACCTCGACCAGTCCTGCCGAAAAGCATCCACCGTGAATGCCTCGCAGGCGGGTAAAAGCGCCACATAAAATGGGCGACGCCTAGACCATGCCGACTCGAAGACGTCCATGGCCAGGAGTCCATACTTCTGGCAGAGCCAACAAAACGAGTCGGCGACGACTGGCCAATCCATTAACAGAGGAATGAACTGATATAGGCTGTCCGCCAGGACGTAGGACACACCCTGGACATGAACCTCACGGTTACCCAAACCCCGAGAATCCAGCAAACGAGACACTCGAAGGGACCAACCCCAAAACCAAACATCTAAGAGAAACCCTCTGGTTCTGGCAAAGAACCACCAGAGAACAGTCCGAATGGAGCTGAATAGTAGAGCACCGAGTGACCCGAACCCTCTGAAGCGCAAACCAGACAGCCACGAACTCCCGAACCGTGCTGTGAGCCCGACGGACGGATAGACCACACCATCCCCGGCCGACCTGGTGAGCACTGGTCACAAAGCCCCAGCTGAGAGATGACGCGTCTGTGAACACATCGACCAAAGGCTCGGGGAGGTGCCAAGGCACGAAACCCCGAAAACCCCAAAAAACCAGCGTTGAATGTAATGAAACGCCATTTTCTGGGTGAGCCCCGGAGGCTCCCTGGAGCTTATCGGGCTAATGTGTGTTATGTTAGACCGGGACATTAGCTAAGGAGTTCAGACCTACCAGGAACCAGCGCCAGAACCTGGCCCCTTCAGAGAGGTTTCAGGGAGCAATGGCCCTGGAAAACCCCATATGGTTGGGGGTTTTCCTTATCTGCCATCGACCGGGGTTAGGCACCCAGAAAGGTAGGCGTAACAAAACAAACCCCACATGGTAAGAAACTACAACAAAAACCGAACAGAGGTAGAAAACTCCCTACAATCCCAAGGAAACAAGCAAACAAGCAAACATCACACTTTACTGCCGCGCCGATCGTCCGCGCAGCCCTCCCCACCCCGGGAGAGGGAGGGGGGAGCCCCGGACCTACCGCGCCGGCTGCCAAGCTCCAGTTCGGAAGCTAAGCTTCAACCAACGCGAAAAAACCGCCGACCGGTGGGAGGGAGGGTTTCCAGGGAGCCTCCGGGGCTCACCCAGAAAATGGCGTTTC